TATATATATATATTATACACAATTATATAATAAATATATTACAAATTTTTTCATATATAATGTACTATGTTATTTATTATATTTTTAATAATTTTACCTGTTGTGTCTGGAGGTCACAAATAATACTACTAATAGTAGAAAGAATTTCTTCAATAAATGGTACCAATTCTCCTGTTTGAGGTGTAACAAAATGTCGCCTACATTTTAGTGCTATTTTTATGAATGTGTCACAGGCCATATCTTGCACACCATCATGAGTTTCTGTAGAGAAGTTTATCTTGATTATTTAAAATATTTTTTATAATATTGTTAGATTTACAATGTTTAATGTATAATATTATATAATTATTATATAATAATATAATATTTTTACCATGCATAAATTCAAAGAGTTTATTTACAACAGTCTTCAGAAATTTCCAATGTGCTCTGAGAAATCTTGGATATTGCCCAACTACATACATAATATTACTAGCAATAATAGCTTTATTATCTTTGCCTTTCTTTTGTTCACAAAGACCAAGGAGATCTTTGATAACAGTTACTAAAAATCGCTTTTCATCTTCTTCATGCATTGCACCAGAAATACTACCTATTGCCCAGCACAACTAATACAAAAATAGAAATTAATATAACATACTTTTATTATAAATTTTATATTTTAGATATATTTACCGCATTAAGATTTTTCCAGGACCATTCTGATCCATTAACTTGGTTTTGTAACTTTTCTGTCATTATTCTTTCAGTATCTATATAGTCAAGATGAGTAAGATATACAAGAGTTTCTCTCATATTTTTATATAAATTAATAGAATCAGTGTCTTTCATAAATTCCCTAACAACTTCTCCATTCTCATTTTCTACAACAAGAACTTCTTCTGGTTTAGCCATTCTACTGATCATAATATATCGTACTTTTGTTAAAACAGGACAATAAAATAATCTTCTAGATGGGAGTGTTATATTTTTAACCACAAATAATGGTGTTGGAGACACAAAGGGATTTGCTCTATATAAATCCATTGCTAATGCATTCCAATATTCCAGACAGATTTTAAATATTTCAACTTCTTCAACTTCAGAAATTAAAACAAGGTAATGCAATGCTTTGAGTAGCAATTCATTTAATTGTTTTTTCTCTATAAATTGTCCATGCTCTTTCAAAAATGTGCATAAAAATATAGCTAGATTTTGAATGAAATTTTGTTCTTGATCTTGACCTGCTGCATATGCTTCGCGTATATTTGTATCAAGGGGTAAAATCTGTTCTAACTGTCGCATTACATTAACAAATAACATTACAAATACGTCATCATAAGTTGTTACTGTGACACCAGCAATTTCGGTTAAGCATTTTA